TGCTAATATTTATAATTCATTCTCTTTACTTAAGTTTAATCGCCCCTCTCCCAACATCATATGCTTATAGTGATTCTTAGTGAAATCCACTATCCAAAATCACTGTAACAATATTACTTTATTATGATGAAGTTGTTAATTTATATTTTAATATCAATTTGCTATCAAGTGAAATACTACTTATATATAAAATTGATTGTTACAAGAATCTCTAAATATCCATAACATTAAACAAGCAAAATTTCTATAGTTCTAAAGATTAATGTTTCAAAATATTAATAGTTCAATATTTCTAATGATCAATAGTTCAAAATATTAAAGATTTAATATATCCGTTATATTGATGCATAATATATATAAACAATAAGCTCAAAAATAACTAACCAATAAAAATAAAAATAAATATTGTTCAATAAAATATATTATATAAAATATTCAATAAAAATAAATTAAGAAATTGTTCAATAATATATAACAAACAAAATATACTATAATAGTTATTGATTTTACTTTATTTCATGCTTTATTAATATAATTAATTACTTCTTTTATATTTTTAATAATAATAAATAAATAAATAAATTAATTATATTATATTATATTATATTATATATATAAATTAATAATAACATATTTTTTAATATTCAAATTAATTAATTAAATAATAAATATAAAGTTATTTGTATTTAATTTATTAAAAAATAAATAATTTAAATAAATAAATATATATATATAAATTTTATTTATATCTTAAAATTATTTATAATTTCTGTATTTATTAATTGAAGATATGCTATAGTATTTGAAGATAAATAAATAGATAAATATTGATTAATTTAAGTATTTAATAATTATTATAATTATTATTATTATTCTCACTCTCATTATTAGATGAATTTTGTGATGAAATAGATTCAGTTTCAGAAAATTCTGAATCTAATTCTTCAATTTTATTTTTATAATTGGTTGATTTAACAAATTTATAACTAGATGTATTATTTATAAGTATTATTATATATTATTATAAATTTAAAAATCAGTATCAAGATATTGTAATTAATTATTGAAAATATTATTTTTCATTCAGATTTTAGAATTTGCTTTGTATATTATAGGAAGAATTAAAATATTAATTTCATAAAATGCATGTAATTTTAAAGATTTATTAATAATGGAAAATTTAAGTTTATCTATTTCAAATGTATTAGTTGCAAGCAAAACAATAATTTGAGTTTTGTTCCTAAAATAATTATTAATTAAGTAATTATAATTAAAATATTTAAATATATTATATATATATAAATATATTATATATATAATATAATATTATTTTTTTAGTTTCAGAAACTGATCAGATGCTAAAGTTTCATTAGATATTATATGAAAAAATAATTCAATTTTATTAGCATTATATATATATTATTAATTGAATATGAACTTAATATTATTTTCTTTCAATTGATAATATTTCTATTAGTGCACTAGTTGCTTTATCTTGGAGTTTTTGTTGATAAATATCTGTTCTTTTTTTAAATTTTGTTAGTCAACCATTAGAAAAAGTAATACCTGTAACACCAAATCTATTAGTAAAAATTTTTGCTTTTTCCTTAAGAATATTATCTGAAATAATCATTCCAATAATAATAATTTGTGTTATTTATAATTCTAATACTCTATCTATTTGAGAATTTTTAACATTTCAAATATGAGTTGTTATTTTTAATAATTTTAGATATAGTAGAATGAGAAAGAGATAATTTATAATAGTTAGTATTAAAAAAATCAGTTATTTTTTGATGTGTAGTATTTGAATATTGTTTATTATATATAAATTTCTTTATTAAGTACTTTGATTATTATAGAATATTTTTTTAGTATTATTTATAATTTTGAGTTTAGAATATAAAAATGATATCATAAAAATTCTTTTATAATCATTATTTGTACATTGACTAAATTTTTATTAATAAAAAAATCTTTCTATAGTCACTATTTATTAAACAATCATTTAATTTAATTTTAACATGTGTATATTTATTTGATATATATATTTATACATAATTATATATATATTTATGTATATTTATATATATATTTATATATATTTATTTATTATATGGTGGTGAGTCAACAGAAACCAAGCAAATTATATATATAATACATATATAATTTGCTTGGTTTCTGTTGACTCACCCCCATATTATAGATATTAATTTATTATTTAAATATATTATTATTCAAATTAAATAGTAACTATAAAGAGATTTTTTTATTATAATTAATATATATTATGAAAATTATTTAATAGTAATAGTGATTATAAAGAGGATGTGACTATATAAAAATTTTTTTATTAATTAAAAATTCAGAAAAGCAAAATTGGATGATTATAGAGAGGTGTGATTATAAATAAGTATAATTATAGAGGGATTTGATTATATATATAAAAAATATAAAAATATAAAAATTATATATAAATAAAAAATACTAAATTTATTTTTATACAAAATTAATCAATATAAATTATTTTATAAAAAATTATTATTTAATATTTATAACTTGAATATCATATTTTTCAGCAATTAGTATCTATCAGATACTTTGTAAAAAGGAGAATATATTATACAGTGAATATTTAATATAAAAGTCATAATTTTGGTTTAGATTACACTAAATTTGGCTTGAATAATGCTAATTTCAAAAATTATGAAAAGAGATACTTTATATTTTATTTAACTTGTAATCAAGATTAATATTAGAATACTTTATCAAAAAAATATTTTATTAAAAGGATACTAACTGTTGAAAATATGTAATATATTATTTTTGTAAATTATTATATATATATAAATTATATTACTTTTTATTTATATTAATAACATGATATTTATTATAAAAATGACTATTTCTGATTTGAAAAATATTTGTATTTCCAATAAAAATAAAATATTATTATTTTTTCTTATTGAAAATAAATTATAATTTATATTATTTTTAAATTTTTTTAATTTAAAATTAATTTAATTAATTAATTAAAAAATTTAAAAGTGGATCTATAAGTATCTCAAAAAATATAATTAGTTTAAAAGATTAATTTTAAAAATTTAAAATATTATATTGAAATTAACCAATTAAATAATTGTGAATTATTTTAACATATACTTTATGAAATATTCTAAAATGTGTTTCTGACTGTAATTGAAATGTCATTTTTATTAGATGATAGTAAATCAATATAAGAGTATAAATATATTATTTAATATAAGAAATTTAATTTCATATCTTATCTTTTATAAATATGCCATTTACTATAATCCTTATATTTTAATTAGTGTTTCTTTTTTTATCATCTCTAAATCAATTTCAGTCTAGCAGGCGAATAAGTAACGGGATGTCGTAGAGGCTGATCCGTGTGATATCTGATTTATCTCAGAGGCAGCGCTCATGATATTTCTGATGATTTTCAATCAGTAATCTATCACAGTGATTGAAAAATATCACATCATCTGTGAAAGTATTATCAGAAATATCATGAGCGATTAGTAAATATTAATTAACATTCTGTAGTTGATGTCTTCCTTTATCAAAGTCATAAATAATACGTAACAAATAATGATCTACACGCGAGCAAATTAATACATTTTCCCGTTAATTAGACATATTATATCTTAAGAGGCAATTATGAAATTTTTGAGATAAAGTAGATCAAAGAAATTTTTTTTAGAATAATTACAGGATTTTTGCTAAAGTGATGATAATATTTACTCTATTCACAGTCATTATGAACATAATATTACAAATGCGTTGTCATCTTAATCACTCTCATCTTCACTCTCCCACTCACTTTCTTCACTACTCTCCCAAATGTCTGATAAATCTGTATCAGAGTCTTTGCCAAAAAGTTCTTGTTCGATTGACATCGGCTCTGTGCCGGCATCATCTGATATTTCTATGGAGGAGGTGGAATTTGATGTTGATGGCGTTGCTGCTGCGACTGCAATGTCGTGCGCGCCATTCATTTGGATTGGCATTGAGATTGTGGTGCTATTTGTGTGCTGATTAGTGCCTTGTTCGATTCCATTAGGTGTAATCGCATTGTATGTGGTATATTCATCATTTGTTGTTTTATGATCTACCGCAGTTTGCCTATTTGTAACACTTACTAGACTTTTTTGTGGTACATTATCAGCGCTATCATATGTGAAATCGACCGAGCCATTAGTATTTGACAGTGTCGAAAATTCTTCCGCTGTATGTTGAACTTCATGTGCTTCTTGCATTATTATATCTGTGGTTGATGTATTAGACTTATTATTAATTACAGATTCTGCTTGAGATTCTTCTCGCATTACTCTTTTTCCTAATCTCCGAGCACTCGCTGTGGGATATGGTGAGTATTTATAGTCATTTTGAAGTTCATTGTTCCGTATTGATACGGGACCGTCTGGTGTATTAAGTCCTGCTTTTCTACTTGCGCTGCGGGTTCGTGTTTCATAAACAGTCGCATTTGCATGCAGAATTGCAAATCTTTGAGCAATTCGTTCTTGTTTTCGACGCCTTTCTTCTTTTTTCTCTTTAAGCTATTTAAGATTATCAACTAGATTAAGAATATATTGCCGAATTATGATAAAGAAGAGACTTTCTAATTTACCTGCACCAACTCCTCAACTCGTGGAATAATATCTTCTTTTAGTTTTGCATGCAATGCCCTATCTTTTGTGAAAGATTTTGGCTTAAGCCGATTGGGATCATCCACTAAGCTTATTATCTCTTCTAATGTAGTTGTTACGGCAATCCATTCTACATTTTCGTGTGTTATTGGAATTCCTGGTTTAGGATATCTCTCGCGGTATATCCGAGGGGAGTCTATGATCATCAAGAACATTGATTAGATATTCTAATAATCATTATATAGATTTATTCTCTGTACTCACTGCCAAGAAAATAATAGTTTGCATTCTTGCGATCTTGCCCGATCATTTCTAATCGCAAAGGATTCATGGCTTCGGTTTTATGCCGATTTTTATAATGCAAGTCAATGAGATCTCGAATTGATTTCGATTCTTTTAGTTGCCAATTTACAAGACTATACAGTATTAACACCTAAGAAATATACAGACATTTAAACACGTATTCGTCAATCCAGCAGTACTGAAAACGCACAAAGTTTATGATAATTTACACACCCTATCTTCTACTCCAAGCTCATAATAATTATAATTATTTACTCTTCGCATTGGGTTATAGTCGAGACAGAAATCAGAACGTTTCTTTAAATGCTGCTCGATTGTATCTGTTAAAAATTTCCTCCATGTATTTCGCCTTCAAAATGAAGCGAATAAAACGCATTAGATCACAGCACATCCTAAGAAAACGCAGGATATCAAACATAAGCAACACTTACTCGACAGCCTTTTTTCTATTCAAGACATTAGTCAAAAATGCACAGTGTATTTCCTCCAACAATTCATCTGTTGAGGAACTATAGAGCGTTTGCTCGAACTCCTATATTTAAATGGAAAAATTGATTGCAAGCTTTTATCGATAAACAAGAACGTCAAGCTATTATGTGCATTTGTAATAATAAAAAGCAAGGCACACTTTAACCAAGTCATGATACTCGAGATAAAAGTTAAGACACAAATGTGTCAAAAAAAATAAAACCCGCTGGTTTACCTCGGGCCAAAACTCTAGATTTCGTAGTGCACTTTTAAATTTATCACAAAATGCCACAATGTACGCTGTCTCCCACATATTTCTCAATTTACTTGTATCAATGACTGTCCTGCTACCATTAGTTAAAGTATTAGTAGTAGGCAGCATTTTCGTGCTAGCTGAAGCCATAGACATGAGAAAATATGTTTAGAAAACTTTCACTGGTGCTCTTTACAGTAATATCGAATATTTCAAGGTTTCTTTTGGGAATATGATAAGATTGAGTATTGACAAAGTTCGAGTTTTTTTAGTAAATTGGTGGATTATACAGAACGCGAATAGCAATCAAAAATTTCTGAGGATAAATAAGCTTTATATTTAGTCATATAAGTTAATTGTGAGCCAATCAATCTTTTGGTTAAAAGATCATGTGATGATATTCATTTATATATTAATATTACATGTACGTTGTTAACGTTAATTGTAGATTCATAGCGAACATCCATCATCCAATCCTAACGCTACAAAAATGCTGCTATGCTTTTTTTGAAACATGGTTATCGGGACTAATCTGTGTGCATCAACAAAAGAACAAAAAGGGTATGCTACTATAACTTCTAATACTCAGTTTCTTATACTTGTTTCAAACCACCACTACACTTAACGTTCGATCCGAACTTTTGAGAAATATTATTTTCTCATATGCAAATAACGTTCGTTTCGTTTGCCCCTAAGCAATAGAAAAAGCACACATGAATAATATAGAAAATATTCAACCCGAGGAAGCCCTCGTCACAAATGCAAAAACTTATGATACTTTTGCTACTTCCCCCATATCTCCCTTTATTTCGACAACGACCTTGATCGATAATTCTTTCACCAATAAATCCGCAGAGAAAATTTTAGAAAATAATATTATAAATGACTACCATTCATCAACACTAGCCGCAAACCTAAACGGTTTGTCAATCGTGAATACGATTAGCTCAGAGGACGAAACTTTATCCTCTTCCTCTGATGAAGATTTCGAAAAAATTGATAAAGAGCCTTATGAGGACAAATACATTAAACTTTCGACTATTTCCGCGTTGGATTTTGTCGCCACTTCAGATCCTTCAGACATTTCTCTGACTTCTTCAGACGCTGTACTGAGCGTAGTCCAAAGAGTAGCAAATATGGCCTTTTTTCTATGTTTAGTTTCTTCTTTTTTGGCTGCAATTTACGCTTTTTTCTTATCTGCGTATTCAATTCTACCATGGCATCTAATCTATTCTATAACCGCTTGTCTTTGGGGCTATTGTTTGTACGCCCAAGGCAACTCATTATCATTGTCAAATAGTATCACTGGTGCACGAAGAATTTCAATGGGTATAACGGTTATACAAGGTGTAGCCTATTTATTAGAAAGTGTGATTCATGATAAATCAAATAATGGACCGGGTCCATTATCACAGACAGAAGCATTCTCAACAAATCCTTTTCTTTACGGAGGATCTATGCTAGGACTTCCGTGCTACATTGTTCTGGAACAGATTCTGATTGCTTATCAAAGAGAAAATTTTCGTAAGCAAGCATTACTGCAATATGAGCGTGAAAATTCACAGACATCACTTTACCGTGCAATTGATCGATTCAGTGAACGTAAGGGATTATACCTGCGTACTATTTCGAAACGATTACGAAATAACACTGAATTAGCGATGACAACATTAAAACAATTGTCCCCGCCGAATTTCCTTTCGAAACCTCACGAACAACTGTCCGCTTGCTCTATTCCGATTCCTACCGCGTCTATCAATGCGATTCATACCACCTTGAAGGCAATCAACTATATGTCATCACATTTAGGAACACTGTCTCTTTTGTTGTTCACTGATAACGGAAAAATTGAACTATCGCATGTAAAACGAAATTTCGATATTGGTGAAATGCTGCAGAATATCGGTGATGCTTTAGCTGGATTTGCTTCTAACGCAAATGTAGAATTGGTGCTTTACCATGTCTTTTATGGTCTAAATCATATCAATGTAGTTGGTGATGAAGCGACCTTAAGATATGCTTTATTTGATGTATGTGATTTTTAGAGCATATAAATACAATATTTTTTTTCCTTATATAAATTGCTAATTATATATTCTTTATAGTTACTCAAATCTATTCTTAAAGGTGCTTCTGATGGAGCTTGCATTGAAGTAGGACTAAAAGTACGAAATTCTGAGGATGCTGATGGAACGAATGACGATGATTTACTTGATAAAGACACAGTAATCAATCCACGAGACAAAGTCATGTGTACCATTGAAATCACACACAATTTTGCAAGTTCGTCATTGGTATCCGAGCAAAAGCGTAAATCTTTTCTGATAAATCCAACTATGCAATTCTCTGCGAGAGTGTTCAAATTCATTGGCGCTAATCTTTCTGCAGAACAAAAAGAGGATAAACAACTATTTAATGTTAGTCTAGAATTGGAAGTTGGTCCTCCTCTTGAAAAGCCAAAGGCTCCTAGAGTGGACGAAGAAACTCGTAAGCGATTCCCGCATTTACGAATCTCTGGTGAACCATCGATCGAAGACTTGAAAAAATTTTCCAAACGTTTAAGAGGATTAAGAATCGGGCTTCATGCTACGACCAATAGTCATTTTGCTAAACATGTGACGAACTGTTTGACAACTTGGAGTACGGATATATCTCATGTACCAATAGGCGGAGAAGACGGTATAGAGATACAAAAAACTGACTCAAGGCCCGGATCTAATTCTGCATCTTTAAATTCATCAAGCTCACGACAATTACCTTCGGGTGATTCTGGGAGTTACGAAGATAATATGAGCGAACAGGCTAATTTACCTCCAGCCTTCATTATAATTGACGATGATGTGGATACATTAAAGGAACAATTGATCAAACTTCGAAATGCACCTTTCCAAGTTGGAATTGCTTCTATGCTTAATGCACGAGGACGTCATAAACGTGGTCAAACGCCTAATTTATTACAACAGACCACAGCAGTCATTCATTTTACTTCACTAACTAATTATAAACTAGTCAAAGATACTGTACAATTAATTTTGTCTCCCGCAAATGGATCATTTCCATTACTACAAGTACTTGTGATTCCTAAACCGGCAGGTCCAAGAAGATTTCTGACAGCATTGCACACGGCTAGCAATAAGATTGTCGTAGATCCTGTGTATATGCCTATCGCTACTTCACCCATGAGTCCAGGTCAAAAGTATAAGAGCGGATGTGATGATTCAGAAAGTAATCCATTAGATCGCGAAATGTTCGGTGATTCAACACGAAATCCTTATTTTAATTCCGAATCTGCAGGCAATTGTCACACTAGGTCAAACCCTTCAACGCCGTCAAAATGTGTAAATAATACTCGATCCGATAGTAATACCGGAACTCCAGTAAGTCCCAGAAGTGGACCTGGTGGAGGATTATTGATAATACCGAAAACGATGTTATCTCCAAATAATCGAACTGTAAATACCAGTCCTAATGGGAAAGTCATCCAAAATCAAATGTCACCCCAAATAATACCTGTGTCATCATCACCTCATCGAATTGATTCAGCCTATGAGGTAAATAATGTTTCCACATCACCACCACCTATCAACTCGCCTCCCCTACAAAATATTCAGCAGTCACCGGGTCGGAGAATTACTACTGGCTCCTCTACGACGAAATCACAAGCAAAAACAAACAAAGCAATCAAATTATCTGTAAATTCTGAAGACATTATTCCTCCGATTAATGTATTAATAGTGGAAGGTAAGGAAATCACGGAGTAATTCATGTTTTTGAGAGTTATTTCAAAAGTAACATCGATCATATCTTGTTTGTATTAGATAATCCTATCAATCAAGCTATATTGTCAGGATTCATGCGAAAAAAGAAAATCAAGTATGAATGTGTTAATAACGGTCAGGAAGCAGTCGATAAATGGAAAGATGGACACTTCCATCTTGTTTTGGTAATTTTTTTATATATGTAATGTCAATTATACTTAAAGCATTATTATAATTGTTATCAAAATTTCAGATGGACATTCAACTTCCTGTAATGGATGGAATCGAAGCGACGAAAGAGATACGTCGTTGCGAAAAGCTCCAAAAAATAGGAGTATTACCATCGACTCCACCTGCTGCATCATCACAATCATCCTCGGCTACATCATCTGTAGCATCCACTCCTTTAGTCACTCCTATCGATATCGATAATCCACTCACATTAAATACACCTCCACCAGCGATTCGTTCACCTGTAATTATTGTCGCATTAACTGCATCATCACTTCCATCTGATAGAAAGAATGCATTGACAGCTGGCTGTAACGATTTCTTGACAAAACCCGTGAGTCTCGTATGGCTTGAAAAGAAGATTAAAGAGTGGGGATGCATGCAAATCTTGATCGATTTTGAGGGTTGGAGAAGATGGAAGAAAATGGAAGACGAAAAAAAACAAAAAGAAACAGGACCAATAACAACCACTAAAAATAACAACTCTTCATCTTTGCTTAAACCAATTTCTGCGTCGACAACTCCACTATCAGCAGCAATCTCGAATAATAAAAACAGTACCACCAAAACTGCCGCATCAAATGGAATTAATGTTGGCAATAGTAACAATAATTCTGAAAAATAACCGACAGCAATATGAAAAGAAAGGAAATACCGTGTCGAGGCCGTTGGGAATGCTAAGTCGACGATAAAGATTTAATCAGGATTGTTTGGTCAATGGTGACTCTATAATAATAGTACGTAATTAGACGTATAATTTATATTTGTAAATTAGACTATTAAAAACAAATATTTTCTGTTTCCAAATTTAGCAACGACTCCTTTTTAAAGTTTCATTAGGAAAATTGTTTTAGATTTTTATTTTATCAGTTTTCCCTTTGATTTTAAATTCATATTTAACAAACTGGATGGGTTTTAATAGATCTTGATCTATTATTTAAAAAGCTCTTTCACACATTAGTAACAAAACTCTGTAAAAAGCACAAGATACAAAAAGCATAAAAACAAGAATAATTTTGTATATAAAAATTTCATTCAAAGACAAATTAGATATAAAATTTTGTAATTATCCAAATTGTGTATAACTTTTTATATTCTGTTTAATATATAAGTAAATACAATCAAACTTTTGATATTTTTTCAAGATAATTAAAAAATTTGATTATATACAAAGAGTAATCAAAAGCATCAAGTATTAATATATATATATATGGTATAGAAACTCTTAAATTGACAATATGTTTCAATTTCAAAATGATATTACTCAATATAGAGACAAAATTTTCAAAATCTGACTGGTAAATTTGTTCTTTATAACAAGTTTTACAAAATTATTGGTCAAATTTTGAAAATTTTGCCTTTATGTTGAATAATAGCATTTTAAAATTGAAACATATTATTAATTTAAGAGTTTCTGTATTATATAAACTTTTTATTTTGATAATTACAAAAAAAATTAGATTTTCTTTATATTGCAATATTGTAATTATTATTAATATTTGTTATTAATCAAATTTCAAGTATTAAAATATATATTATCTTTTATATAAGTTTAATATATATAATTTTGTAATTGTAAATAATTGTTTAACTAGTCTCTAATTATATTAAGATTTGAATTTTGAACAGATTATGAAAAAGTGTATAATATAAAATACATTTATTTTTTTAAATAATAAAATCAAATCTCTATAATTATTATTCTTGAAAAAGTAAAATTGGATAACTTATATAAAGATTTTTTTATTATATTTATATATAAATAAAAAAGCAAAATAGAATAATTATAAAAAAATATAATTATAAATAAATATAATTATAAAAATATTAATTATATTATTATTTAAAACTAGTAATTACTATAACAAATTAAAATAAAATCAAATTAAAATAAAACTTGATAATTTTTTTAAATAATAATTATAAAAAAAGTTAAGTAATTTAAATTTTTTTGGTAATAATTATAAAAAAATTAACTAGAAATTCAAAATAAGAATATAATATAATTAATTTTTTTATAGTTATTATTCTCAAAAAAATAAAATAATTATAAATAAATATAACTATAAAAAAGTTAAATTATATTAAATTTGTTATTGATTTATTAATTATTTATATATTTTATTAAATTTTATTTTATTACAATTATTATTAAAAAATATGAATTATATTATAAATAATAAATATTTGTAAAAAATTTTAATATATATATATAATTAAAATTATTTTAATATTTTTAATAATATATTGTTACACATTTTTCACTGATAGGGTAATTAGCTAATAAACTTGAACAAGGGTTGGGAGAGATAATTAAACAAATATAAGAAAGTATGAAAATAATATCTAAGTTTTATGTCAATTTCTACTGAAATTATTATAGTTTGAGAGGGGAAAAGAATAAGATAATAGTGTTTCAATTAGGTATAGTGTTTCAAATAACCGTACTAACTAATTAATTTATGAATTATTTAATTGAAGTAACTAATAATTTAACTAACTAATTAAAATATCAAAAATAACAAAAGTAACAAAGACTCT